AGAGAGAGAGAGAGAGAGAGAGAGAGAGAGAGAGAGAGAGAGAGAGAGAGAAGCCAGGAGAGTGAGGAGGAAAGTTTGAGAAGATGAAGATTGTGGTGCCGGAAAGGATGACGATTTCGGCAGTGGAGAAGATGAAGATTAGTTACTGTAGAGACATGATAGGGAGCATATTGACTCCTGATTCTCCTTTTGCCACGATCAACAACGCTAGTAATATGGCTATGGCTAGCTCGGATAGCTCCGACTGCTCGCAGTGCTCGCAGTGCTCGGTAGTTGACGAATTCATCGACTTCATGAACAACTCCTGGACACCATTCCATGCCACACTCGAAGCGGAGAAGATCCTGACTGCAGCTGGATATGCTCGGCTGTCAGAGAGAAGAGCGTGGCAATTGAAACGAGGAGGGAAGTACTACATTACAAGGAACATGTCGTCGATCGTTGCATTCGCAATCGGAGAGAAGTTCGAAGCAGGAGAAGGGTTCTTTGTGGTTGGCGCACACACCGACAGTCCTTGTCCCAAGCTGAAACCCATTTCCAAGCTCAGCAGGCCTAACTTTCTGTTGGTTGGGGTGCAACCGTATGGCGATGGCGTTTGGCACACATGGTTCGACAGGGACCTGAGTGTCGCAGGACGTGTGCTGGTGAGGAGGAGGGTGGAGAGGGAGACATTTGAGGAGATAAAGAATCGTAAGGTAGGTGAAGGAGGGACTACCAAAGGTGGTTGCTTTGGTGGCGGCGAGAGTCGAACAACAAGAAATGCAGGTCTTCTTGCAAATGCCAAGACTCAGGGTTCACCCGCTCTGGCATCGGTCATCAAGCAGGAGCTTGTGATGATCAGACGACCCATTATGCGCATCCCAACGCTGGCTATTCATTTGGATAGGCCATCAAACGACAAGGGAATTTGCGTTAACTTCCAACGGGATATGGGGGTGCTGCTGGCTACATCAATCAAGTCTGAGATGAATCAGCACAAAGCCATGGCCTCGAGATCAGGTAAGGGAAAGCCATTGCTAGCGACGACAAGGAACAACAAACATGAGGTCCTGGAGGAATGCCATGGAACCTGCAAAGGCAGTAGCTTTATCCATGCCAAGGACAGGGGGAGGTCTTCGGCGAAGAACAGTCCTGCAGTCGTCACGACAATGGTGAGAAAGGTGGAGGGAGATGAGGGTTGCAGTCATCACCATCCGCTTCTGTTGCAGTTGCTAGCGGATGAACTGAAGTGCAAGCCTAGTGACATTTGCGACTTCGACCTTTGCGTTTGCGACACACAACCAAGTGCCATCGGTGGTGCGCTGGACGAGTTCATCCTCTCCGGACGACTCGATAATCTTCCCATGTCCTTTTGTGCCGCCAAGGCGTTGGCCGAGTCCACAGCAGCACCGGATGCTTTGGCTAATGAGAGTGGTGTGCGAATGATTGGGTTGTTCGACAATGAGGAGGTGGGGTCTGTCAGTGCCCAAGGAGCTTCATCGACACTAATCAGCGGTGTCATTCGGCGAGTCACGGAATGGGCAACTACATCCTCAATGCACGCGACCCCCTCGGGACTCGAGGGGCTAGTAGCGCAATCATGCCGACGCAGCTTTCTAGTGTCTGCCGACATGGCTCATGCCGTCCATCCTAATTATGTCCATAGGCATGATGAGGTCCATCAGCCGATGATGCATGGGGGGTTGGTGATCAAGCACAATGCGAACCAGGATTACGCCACGTCAGCGGCCACCGCGTCCGTCTTTCGAGAGATCGGGTACCGAATGTCCCTCCCCATCCAGGATTACGTCAATCGATGTGACATTAAAGGTGGGTCGACCATTGGACCTCTTGTTGCAGCTCAGCTGGGGATCCCAACCGTCGACGTGGGTGCCCCTATGCTGTCCATGCACAGCATCAGGGAGATGTGCAGTGCCGATGATATAGACCATGCATTCCAGCATTTCAAAGCATACTTCGAGACTGTGGGCGACATGCTCCTCGAAGTATCCCTTGAGAGTTGAAGTTCATCCCACTGGGACAGAATCCCATGGATCTTAACTGGTAGATAAGGGAGATCTCTCTCTGTTTTTTTTTTTGTTTCTTTTTTCCTCTCTCTCTCTCTCTCTGATCATTGTGGACAATGTGGAGCGAAGTTACCTTTCTTGTAGGGAGGTTAGCGTAGTGTACATAACATACAAACTTGAAGGTCATGTAGAAAACAGTAGGTTGACTCCACATTGTCCACAGACTCCACACGGGACCACACCCACTTTACGGCAGGCCCTCGTCAAATTCCACGTCAGTTTATGTTGATCACCTTCAGCTAATATTAATAGCATGGCTTACTGGAGGGGCTCTAGTAGGGCTCCATTATTTTATTGACCTTGCCTCATGTTTCACTAAAGACCATCACAGACTCGTTTTACTGTCCGGTTTCGTTTTACTGTCCGGTTTCGTTTTACTGTCTGGGTTCGTTTTACTGTCCAGTTTCCTCAAACCCAGTTCAATTCGATCTTTGTGTGAAATATTCCACCCTCCTCGTGGAGAAAAACTAGTCTGACACCCGTTGCAGACATGCCTGGTGAACAGGCTAAGGGGCCTAAGTGGCCTAAGGGGCCTAAGGGGCTTGTTAAGGGTTTAGCAAGGCAGTGATGAGGACTGTTTGTGCCATCCGTGGGTCGTGGATGCCAGACACTCGGTGCAGGCATATTTGGTGATCACAGTGGACACAAGTGACCAAATGCGCCGGATTTCAGGTCCTTGGGAGGGCAGGGTGACAGCAGCCTGGCACAGAGGAGGGAGGTGAGGGATTGGCCAGGGGTGTTTTCGCTGGGGAGGGGGTAACTCAGCCGTAACTGTCCATTGGGAATGGAGGGGGTCCAGGGGGACAGGGGATTCAAAGGAGAATTCCGTTTTGTCTTTCCATTTTTACCTTCATGTCCGGGGGGCATGCAATCTGCAGAAGGCTGAGAAGGGACATCGACATGCGGAGCAGACATAGCCCGGGGACATGGAGTACAAGGAATCAAGGATGGCATCATGGGAAAGTGGGCTCTTAAGGTCTCGGGGAATACAGAGGGTCATGACTGGGATGGATCCTGGGAAGGATTGCCACGTCGGGTGTTTTGTCATGGGACAAGGGATGGGTGTAGAGGGGGTGGGGAAGAGAGAACCCTTTAAACCACCAGTACTTGGCCCAGCTATTGCTGCCGAGCCGGGAGACGCCCTGCGCGCCAAGTTTTGCCGAGCCACCGCAGCGTCATTTCTATTCTCTTTTCACTGGCGCCTCCAGCCATTGTGGTCCGGTAGGCCGAAGCCCATCAGTCGCGCCGCATTAACGGGAAACACCCACGGCCGATGTATGGGCCAAGCCAAGTACTGGTGGTTTAAATTTATGATTTTTTACGTCGGCCTTGTGTCCGGTGGATGTGCATTCTGCAGACACTTGACCCAGATGCCCAGATACGTATGCAGATATATCACTGCAGCCATTTCCTTAAAAGTGGGACATTTTGTATTCTTTGAACGAAATTGGTATTTGGCCCCAAAACTGTCGCCATTTTAGCTCCTAAGGGTCTGTCTGTGGACTCTGGACATAGCTGAAGCAGCCCAGATACATCCAAGGGGATCCAGCATTTTCAGACTGTGACATTCTTAGGGCAAAATAAGTAGAAAGGCTGATATACAGAGACTGGACTGAACAGTCGCAGGCACAGAAAAGGTTCAAAAGGACACGATAGATGATAGAGAAGACACATTTGCAGCCAGTATGGGGCTTGGGCCGCTTGGCTGTTTAGGCCCTAAGGAAGTTTTAGGGGGGTTATCCTATTGATATTGGCTCTAATTCAGGGAAACCCTCATTCAGGGAAGGAGGTTAGTTAATCCCCTCATTCAGGGAAACCCAGTGTTCATGCCTGCGAAAGGGTACTAATGGGTTGATCAAAGCCTACTACAGTCTTCCCCCGAACATAACGCACCCTAAAAATGAATGTATACGAGTTATATTTCCGGGCAGACACAGACAAAATGAGGGTGCGTTGCATTCGGGGGAAGACGGTAGCCTAGTATCCAGGCTGCCCTCTTCTTTAGGTTTCCTGCCAGTGGAATTCCCTGCACTTAGACATTTTCTTTCTCTGGATTGTTGCGGATGTCAACACATTTGATTATAGCCGAATTGATGGGTGCTGTATGGCCAGCTTGGCCTAGGGTTTCATGTTTCTGGTGTTATATTTACTGTGTTGTGAATCTTGTGACGCTGTCAGACTTTCTGCAAGCCAAGGCCAGGAGTCTGCGCTGACTCTTCAACCATGATGTCTATTTCTGTTCATCTGTGGTTGATGGGGTTAGAATGGTGTAGACAGGTGAGAGTTTCCACATTTGGAATAGCCAACCGCATTTTTGGGGTTGGCGCTTTGTCCATCTCATTCGATACCGGAAAGTGTTAGGAAGAAGAGGAGGCAGAAGAGGCTTCCTGACTCTCCTGAGAGAGGAGATCCAGACATTTTATTCGTTCTTAAAGTTTGTTGTTTCCAATGAGATTTGAACCGGGTCCCGTGATCTGTTTGTCAATACTAGGTGTTTGTGTGTGGAGTCTGTGGAGTCATGTGGACCAATTGCCCTTCACACCAGCAGATACAGGTCTGGACTCTGGACGTTGGATGCTCATTGCTCATAGCAACACCACTAGCAGTCTCAGCCGGTTATCAAACAAAACAAAGGTTTCAGTCAAGAAGGGAGTGTGTGGTCACCAAGTCTTCCTGTCAGTTCCTGCCAACGAGGACGACTGAGCTATCAATTGGACTTAACCGCCGGACTCATCAACCGGACTCGGCAGCGAAGTAGTATCATTGAGTTAACTCAGTTAATGGATACAGGCGCCTTCAGCCTATCTATCTAGAGACTCAAACGACGCTTTCGGCACCTTCGGTCAGGGACCCGGATCTCTCATTAAGTCCTCAGGGAGTCATCCCTACCATACGTCAACCAACTTCATTAACTCAGACGGCCAAGTCAACGCAGTAATGACCCTTTGGTTTTCTTATAAATGGGGGTGAAAATTGGGGGGTCGGATAAATGGGGGTGAAAATTGGGGGGTCGGATAAATGGGGGTGAAAATTGGGGGGTCGGTTAACCTTCTGTCCTCAGTTGACCTGCTAAAGCCTAAAGGGAAAGGTGAACTTAGACTGGTCATGACTGTCTATAGCTTGCCCTGCAGCTTGAGCCAGCCAGCCAGAGAGTGAAAGCAGTCCCAAGCAGGTCTGCCTGTTGGGGTATAACATTCCTCTTGGCAGAGTCAGTCTGAGACCTAGCCACATAGATTCCGCTACGACGGCTTCAAGATCCTGGTTGCGCAAGTGACAACAGGTCGGCATTGTCTTTGCAAGGATGGTGTCATGACTGCGCACGTCATGAAGGGCGGGTAAAGGATCAAATGGTTCAGACTTGAAAGGATGTGCTGTTCGCCATATTCGCTGCGATTCGAAGTAACCGACAGACAGGACTTGTTGACATCAAAGGAAAGTCTTAGAGGCATAGAATTAGGTATGTGTGGGATGATATCATGACATGACGAACATCAACTTAATAGCTTACGAGAACCAAGAGTGTCGTACTGGCTCCAACTTCCAAGGACCCGGTGTCTGCAGTTCTGCTATCACTGTTCGGCTTTCGCTTCTTGTATATGGTACCAACTCGCTCACAATCGTACTTCACATCTTTTATGACACTGGTCTCTCTTGAAGGCAAGGTAGGAAGATGGAGATGGAGATGGAGATGGAGATGGAGATGGAGATGGAGATGATGACCATCTCTCTTCGAGGTAAAGGCAGGAAGATGGGGAGCACAACCAGCCAACTATGACGAAGTGCAGATTCTGCAGAATTTGACAAAGGGTTTGCTCTTACGATCTTCTTTGGAATTTGCAATTAGACGAAAAAGAATAATATAAAGATGATGGGATTGGTTCTGCACGAGAAGCGAGTGCGTTCTGGCCTTGACTGGCATGATTACCATTGCAGACTTAACCAGAGCACAGGCGAAAGGTCCTGGAGTTGAGGATTTCATTAGGTGGTAAGGTTTCCAGCTGAGGCCCTGAGGGAGCTGTTCTTTCTCTCACCAAGGAACAAGATCGTCATTATTTTCGTTGGAGCTTTGAAATGATTTGAATCTTCCATCATGCCTAAATTGTGTCTCCACTTGTCAGTTCTCAATCCACTACTTTCAAATACATTGCCAAGTTTTAAAATGTAATGATGCCAGTGTTCCTCTGTGTGACCATTGCCAGGGTATAAAGCCACCAAATTATGCTTGGATGCTCGAATTGGCGTACGCAAACCTTTGATTTGCTGGACCCAGGAGTTCAGCTAAACAAACCTCCTTACCGTGGCACATCAGTCACGGGTGTCTGCTCACGAACGATTGGCTGATTGACAGGACCCGCATACAACAACGCGCACACACACACACACACACACACACACACACACACACACACACACACACACACACACACACACACACACACACATGCATATAAAGTTGCCTCTACTCCAGCACCATGCAAATACCTGGTGCCTCTACAGACCTAGGCAATCACATTACATCACCACACAAAGCATACAATCCGACCACAAGAGGTGCACCACGAGGCATAGTACCTCATCAGGCTCACCCAACTGGTGCCCCACCCACTGGCCCCCGTCTCACCCCCTTTATGCCGACACGACCAAGGGAGTCAGAAACATACCCCCATGGCAACACCCCTACCCTCCTGCAAAAAAGAAAAACAGTTCTCCATTTGAATAACACAGACACCCCCGCCCCCCCCCCCCCCGGCTATTCAGCAACCCCCCGGGCCCCTGCCCCTTGGTCCACCCAACGGCCCCCGACTCACCGCCCCGTAACAACCCCCGGTCCCCCACCACTGCAAACTAACTATTCTTTTAAAAAAAAAAAAAAAAAAACTAAAACCACCTTCGGCATACAGGCTGGTACAGCCACCGTGACCCTTTTAAGAACAGCTTAGCGAAACCCATAATCTATAAAACCACTGCCAAAACTTGTCCATATTAAGGTGCAGCACAATAATCCCCTCACCACAGGCAGAGAACACGCATATCCCATTTGAGAATAAAAAAACCGTCCTTGCTTTCGGTATAGGTTTTCCTTTTCTCCTCTTACCTTTCACCTTTGTTACTTTCTCCAACCCCCCCGTCAATGCCGCCATGACCAGTCCGCTCCCCTTAGTTATACCTGCCCCAGCAGTCCCACTAGTACCCCCTTAACAGGCTCTTGGGGAAAAAAATAATAGCCTCACAATTAATGACCCGCCTCATACCCTACAACCAAATCCTCAAACACCCTGCTCCGAACTATCTACCCATCAAACAGGTCCCTCCAGCCTGAAAATGATGGCTGTGCTGCCTTGAGAGAAAAATTACAAAATCATGGAAATATTAAGAAGAAGATGATAAGAGCTTTACCATGGCGCTATCACCTTCCTCCCCGCAACCCCTTGATACATGACACCATCAAGAGTCTCAATCCTTCTACTCTTACGCCACTCAGACTGGAAGGTTCCCCTCCATATCCCACATAATACACGACACCCGCTTTGTGGTTCAGACGTCCACCTAATGAAACAGGAATACACGCACCTTGACGCAGGGTCTTGTGTGTATTTGCGAAGCAACACTCAGAGTGATGGCCAAGTACACAAACAAGAAAAGGAGAAGAGGGAGAAGACCAAGGAGCAAGACAGTCCATATCCTGAACGCGACTTCATAGGTAAAAGTGTAATCATGAAGCACAAGCATGGCGAAAGCGCTACCAGGGTCTTACCGACGCTGTATTCGGTGCAACTTTCAGTCTAGTTGCAGCACGTAATTATCACCTCATCTAGACTGAAAGTTGCACCACATACACGGATACAGCTTCGGTCTTACCCACGATAACACAAAAGAACACAGCGAGCATTCCGACCACAACGCATACAGTCCCATGCAGTCCCTCTGCAACCATAAGACCGCAGTCTTCTGAAACAGTTTCTTCTGAGCCAAACAGGGGACTGGCCTGGGACCTGTCTCTTATACACATCTAGATGTGTATAAGAGACAGGTGTGTGTGTGTGTGTGTGTGTTTTGAGGGGATGTCGATCATTGAACTCACGTGAATTTATTTATTTTCTTTTTCGGGAAACTGTAGGTGTGACACACTTTTAGTTTGACATACGAGGCAAGAAAAGACAGAGTGGCGTCGATTCCATAGTGTGAGTTTCGAAATGTGCAAAAAGTTTAGCGGGGGTCTAAAGGGGTCTAAAGGGGTCTAAATTAAAACTGCGCCAGTCGATACCCACATTAGCCATTTTGGCAGATTTAGGGGGTGGCCTTTTTTGCTCCATTTGGGTAAACTGCCCAACTGGTAAAGTCGCCTATTCTGAAAAGAAGGGTGAGACTCCAACGTACTTGGCCCCCTTATTTTTGTTTTCCCTTCAAATTGCTTTCCTCTCTGAAATCCAAGGGGGAAAAAGTAAATGGAAGGGAATGTGAGTCATTATGTGACCATAACAACGTCGATGAAATCCGGCAGATGATGAGAGGGCAAAGAGGAGTAAATCGCGGAGGAGAAGAGAGGGATGGTGGAGACAAGAGCAGGTGTCTACACGTGTGGATTTTGAAACACGAGGAGAAGGAGGAGGGAGGAGGAGGAGGAGGAGGAGGAGGAGGAGGAGGAGGAGGAGTAGGAAATAGGTGAAAGAGGAAGAGAGGAGGGGGAGGAGGAGGAGGAGGAGGAGGAGGAGGAGGAATTCAAGAGGCGAATGAGGAGGAGGGGAAAGAGAGAGGACGAAGAGGAAGAGCCGAAGGACAAGAAGGACGAGGAGGCACGCATGAGCACTTACACTTCTCCTGCTTGGTCGCCCTTCGTCGTTCCTTCTCCCTCCTCCCCTCTTCCTCCTACTCCTCTTCCTCCCTATGTCCCCTGATGGGTGCCAGTTTCTTAGAGATTCATCGATCCTGCACTCAAGAATGATGATGTTCCTCCTTCCTCCGCCTTCCTCCTCCCTCCTTCCTCCTCCCTCCTCCTCCTTCCTCCTTCTCCTTCCTCCTCCTCCTTCCTCCTCCTCCTTCCTCCTCCATGTGCGCTCTGATGCGTGACAGCTTGTCCAACTGCCTTTAAGTTACCTGTACTTAGCTTACGACCTGCAGGCTCCACCACGCCTCACCGAAGAACGAAAGTTCGTCGATGCTTCGCTGATCCTTCCTTGACGATTTCGACCTGAGGCTGCGGATACGTACGAGATCCTGCAGCCTGCAGGCCGCTGCACATATCAGTAACACGAACCCACAATCAATGAACGATGATCTTTCTTCGCTGAATATAAACTTCAGCTGGATTCTTCCGCACTGAGTCTGGGTGATGTGCGATTCATTCTGACGCCTCGAGCCGTCGTCGGCCCGTCGATCATGGATTTTTCTGGTCGATTGTCGTTGTTTTTTTTGTTCCCCCTTTTCTTTTTCGTTTTGAGGAGTGCCCGCTAGAAGGCCCTTGTCGTTTCAATGTTTTGTGTAATGTTGTGGTGTGATCGACTTACTATAATGTACTAGACTATTCCATACTATACTATACTATAATGTACTATAATGAACTACACTGTACTGTACTATAATATACTGTAATAACTATACTATACTATACTATACTATACTATACTATACTATACTATACTTAGTATACTATACTATACTATACTATACTATACTTAGTATACTATACTATACTATACNAGTGCGCCGATGAGTGTGTGTGTGTGTGTGTGTGTGTGTGTGTGTGAGAGAGAGAGAGAGAGAGATGGCCGTCGTGCGCTGGCACGTGGCAGTGCGCCGCTGGGTGTGTGTGTGTGTGTGTGTGTGTGTGTGTGTGTGTGTGAGAGAGAGAGAGAGAGAGAGAGAGAGAGAGAGAGAGAGAGAGAGAGAGAGTTTACTAGAACTAATGTCAGCATAGTTGTGTTCGAGCGGACGATCTGAGCAGTAGCAGTCGGGGGTATGCGTCATGGTGCTACCGATCCTGACGTGCAATGCTTGATGTTGAGCTTAATAATCAATGTGGATGAGGATCGGGGCATGTCGGGATCGGTGTTTCACGGTGCTTTACGGACGTAGTCGGGAGCCTGGACCTACCGGTAGTAAGAAGCCTTGCCGGGATCCAATGGACCTAGTCGGGAGCCTTGTCGGGATCCAACCGACCTAGTCCGCAGCTCTGTCCAGATCCATACTCGCACCGAAACTTGCGCGTCAATCTGAAACCGAACACCCCGCTACACTGACGGCATACTCACACTGGGACTCTTTTTTTAACTTAATTTTTGGGAGTCTTTTTTTTACTGAATTTTTGGAACTCTTTTTTTTTTTCACTTAAGTTTTGGACGGAATGAAGGCCAGATGGAAACAGGTGTCACAGTGGCTGAAATTGCGGTCCGATGCATTTTGGAAAACGCTAGTGTGAGAGCCCTTGTAGCTCCGCAAGCAGCACTACACGTGGCCTTCTCCTGATCGTTCGTTCGTTCGTTGGTGAGCCTTGTTGAGCCCTCGGAGAGTCGGAGAGACTGAACTGTATACCCCTCTTATTAAGGTCTCAAGAAGGCTCAAGTGGGTTCGATCGATCGTTCGTTCGTTCTAGAGAAAGGAGGAGGGAGGTGGTCCTGTGTGGCAGCTGCTATCGCAGGACACATGGCACACAGACAAAGGAGACAATTCTCTCCTCACCCTTTTACATCGTCGTCCGCTCGGTTGGCTCTGCGGTCGTGATCGTCTGTCTGTTCGTTTTTTTCCGGTTTTCTTTGTTTATTGTTTTTTTGCAGTTTTTAAAACAGGGCGACGTCCTTGAGAGATATTACCCTTCTTTTTTTCTTTTTCTTTTTCTTTTTTTTTTTTGCCCTGTCGGTCTCTTTCACCATCAGCTCGTTAACCTTTTTTTTTTTTTTTTTTTTTTTTTTTTTTTTTTTAAAAATTTTTTATCATCCGTTCGTTCGTCATCATTGCACGCAGT